CAGCAACAACAATACTACAGCGAGAATAAAAGTTACGCCTTCTTTCTTTGCGTGAACATTTGGGCGGCGTTATGCAAATCTTCCCACATAGTGATGTAGATATGTGGGGGCGTGTTAGAACGAGCCGTTTTAGGGGGGCGTGGCTGACTCAACTTTTATAAAGAATATCTCTTTGGATTTGAGACTTTAGTCTTTGCAACTTTACAGATCTTCTTTATGCACCAAGAGCTTGTAACACTCCAAAGAGAAAGGGAAAATTGAAATCGCATCATATGACCCCTTTAACACAAAAGATGCGAAATCGCAAAAGAAACGCGATTTTCTTACTAAATAACGCGTTATTCGCGACAGCTGACCGCTTTCACTCGTGAAGAGAATGTGAAGTGAAACACACGGACTGTCCTGCGCCTAAAAACACCACGTTTATTTATCCAAAGTGAACGTTTGTATTGGCACTACGCCCAAGGTCTTTTAAATACGATATTCGGTCTTTATAATTTGTGTAAACTTACATGGTTGCGTCGCGAGTCTTTCTGATTGCTGTATAAAGTTCAGCGTGTGTCATGAGAGAAGAGTGCGGTGAGTCATCGATGAGCTCCGCGCTGAGGACATTAACACGGGTTCACGCAGAGGGCACAGCATTCACATGGGAATTGTGGCCTCACTTACAGTTTACAGTGCAGCGTGGTGTTGAAAGCTTGTAAATGAGCTGAACGGTTAGTACAACCGCCATTGTGTGACCATTTGAGGAAAACTGCAAGTAGGTTGTGCAATTTGGATAAAAATGTGTTTAATGACAAATGAGTTGCAGATAATTAGAAATACCAGCATTTTGAGCTTGTCAAAAGTGAGATCAAGTTTTCATGGGCGGATTTTTTCAGCATGATCCAAGCGACACTGAGCCAGTTTCTCCTCACACACACACAGACCGTCTGATCAGCTATCCTTGTGGGGACTCTCCATAGGCGTAATGGTTTTTATACTGTACAGACCGTATATTCTATTGCCCTACACCAACCCTACCCCTAAACCTACCCCTCACAGGAAACTTTCTGCATATTTAGATTTTCAAAAAACTTAATTCTGTATGATTTATAAGCTTTTGTACCCGTGGGGACCACAATTTAGGTCCCCACCATGACTCGAGTCCCTATGAGTCTGTGTATTCAGGTTTAAGTCCCCACCAGGATATATAAACCAGTACACACACACACACACACACACACACACACACACACAGAGATGTTTTAGATTTTCAAAAAACTTAATTCTGTATGATTTATAAGCTTTTGTACCCGTGGGGACCACAATTTAGGTCCCCACCATGACTCGAGTCCCTATGAGTCTGTGTATTCAGGTTTAAATCCCCACCAGGATATATAAACCAGTACACACACACACACACACACAGAGATGACAAATGCAGTGAATCGGGAAACTTTTCTTTAAAGTTTTATTTAGAGAAACCAGGTCTTTAACAAGAAAGGCCACAATCGGTGACAATACAAACCCTCAAAAAAAAAAACTCTGTCATTGTCAAAGATGCATGACGTCTGGATTCATTTGGATTCTAACAATGCATATTTAGTCCAAACCTCTCAAAAACAATGTTCATCCATGTATGCCACTTTTGACACCTTCTTCTATGTATGAAACTTATATCATAAACATCCCCAAAATATGCATGTAACTTACAACTGTGGAACAAAATGAGAATTTTTGGCAAATGCAGAGTGTGTTTTGTGAGCGATTTCTAACTATGCTGTTAAACAGAAAGATCAACAGCTCTGGCCTGTGATTTCCTAAAACAGCCATAAAATATGCATGAATTAATATAACACATGCATGTATACTCAAAATTACTGAAGCAGTTTACTCACATCCACACCCCTTTACTACACGAATACAGTTTAACATTCATTCACAGTCTTACTCTACAAACAAAAGCTTGTTTATGAAAAAAAAATCAAGTACTGAAACAGCTTTAATAAAAAAAAAAAACACTTCCATAAAACAATTGAGCTTCCACTAGATGCAATGCCGTTTTAAAACAGTGGAAGACAATAGGCATCTGATGAAGACTAATAAAACAAAAATAAAAATAATTCCCTGAATTAAAACATAAAGTGCCCAAAAATCATTTATAAGATTACTGGTCTTATTCCCCTGCAAAATCCTCTTCGATTGCATATATTGAGACTGTCGTGACGTTATATTCACACAACAATTACACCAATTACTCTAATTTATATTCACCCCAGTGTTTACAATTAAAGTTGCCCTGGTAAAACCACCAGACAAGATAGATACTGTAATTTAACCTCAGTTTATTGCGGTGTAAAACTGATTGCACCAGGCAATTTACATCAAACTTAAATTAAACTATGCATTTTATCTAGATCTTTGGTTAGAGGTTATAAAACCAATAATAATAAAGAAATAAAATCTTTAAAAAGCACACAATCTGTGTCTAAAATACTCGAATGAACACACAGGTGAGACATAAGACTGCAGAGATGTAGTTACAGTTGTTGACCACAAGGTGCAGCTACCTCGCTATGCATGTGTCACAATATACAATAATGTTGCAGTACCAATCAGAAAACCGTCATGCAGCACTAGCATACAGAAATATAAATGTGTATACATATTAAATCACCTACTGATACACAAGTATCATTTCAAACACAGTCATTAATGTCGACCTTGTGTGCTGTGACAAAGAAGCACTGTCTGCATTTATTTTACTGTACCTCACAACAGGAACAGTTTCAGCTACATCTCCATACAATGCAGAAATGCACGTGAAATTAACTTTTGGTACAGTAAATCAGATCAGTGGGATTATACATTATATTCACCAAAAAACCTAGCTTAAATCTACTATTTTCAGGCTGTAGCTTCAAAACAAACAATCTTCATTACTTGTATATTCAGTCGTTTATCTTGAAGATATTCTCCAATGCATTTTCCAGGGTTGATGACGAAAGGTGAACAGCAAATATCTGCTTAAACTAGAGACCATCACGACCCATAATTCACTGAATAAGACCATCTGACCCCGACCGACATCAGTCAGATCTGCTTCAAAACCGCTCCATGACACTTCCCGCATACTTTCCAACATCCTCTATGCTCCTTCTGTAGCTTCAAAACAAACAATCTTCATTACTTGTATATTCAGTCGTTTATCTTGAAGATATTCTCCAACGCATTTTCCAGGGTTGATGACGAAAGGTGAACAGCAAATATCTGCTTAAACTAGAGACCATCACGACCCATAATTCACTGAATAAGACCATCTGACCCCGACCGACATCAGTCAGATCTGCTTCAAAACCGCTCCATGACACTTCCCGCATACTTTCCAACATCCTCTATGCTCCTTTGGCAACTTCCTGAATCTTCCAATTCCAGCACATCAACTAAGAATGCTTACCTTTTCTCTGATTTAAAAAGGTTTTTATTTGCATTTAAGCCATCCGTTCAGCGACCAATGTTTATGACATTGCTTTAGTCCACATTTCCTGTCCCTACATCACCACATTCAATCTTCTCTATCACAAACATGCGCTTTCCTGTCTGTTTGAACTCATGTGGCCATCAGGTTATCATTTTGTCAACAGCACATCAACACTATCTTTGGTAGGGCACACTACGAGTCATTTTGTATTTAATCTAAAATATAATATAATAAAATAAAATAAAATAAATCCCTAATCCCACCAGTTTCTCAGTTTCTTTTCAACAAGTATATTTGAAATAAAATAAGACTCTTTTAGTAAAAATAAAAAAATAATAAATTCACCCACATAAATTAAAACAAACCGAAATATGTACAAACCACAGCATCCAACAATTAAATAAAAAACAGATCTGATTTTCACGTTTCCATCTTTCACAAGAGGTAAAAGAACAGAGAATATGAGAAACAACTGAAAGTGTGAAAGAGGGTGGATGGGTACATATGGCACCTGAGGTGCATTCTGGGAGCTCAGTGCTCTCCTCTGAGTTTCGGAGACTGGGTGTCTGCTTGGCACGGTGACGCCTAATAAGTGTTCATTACACACAGTGACCACTAGAGGCAGCAGTTCTACAGTTCCTTCTGGTAACATGTTGGCTTTATCCCGGTCCGCCCGTCGCTTTCATGGCCTCCTCCAGTTTCTCTCTGTAGGCATTGTAGCGTCTGGTCATCGAGCAAATCTGGTCCTGTTCCTCTTTTTCCAAGATGCGGAGGAAGTTCTGCAGTTCGGGGATGGAAAAGGCATCCCACTGATGAACGAGAGGAAGATGTGTGTCATGATAGCTTATTTTTATTAATATACGATTCAGATAGAAACCGAAATCGAATGCTCACCATGACTTCACCAGTTTGCTGCTCCTTCAGGACGAAGCTGAGTGTGTCTGTACTGGGTCCTGCCACCAGACGCAGGAAGAGAGGGTGTTCTTCCTCTGAGAGCTTACAGGTGTACACTGCACACATACAGACACAACACACACGATTACCATCACAGACACTTCACTCACATAGCAAGAAAGACAAAAAATAATAATACTATCAGGCAAGAATAAAGGCTAGTTCACACCAAAGATGATAATTCATAAATTATATCTATAAAGTTTTAATAATTGTTCTAACTCTATGAGAATAGTGAAGTCCACATTCCAATGATATTGCTCTAACAATTGTACTAACTTTCAGAAAAAAATTTTCTAGCTGATGAATGATAAAAACCCAGCCAATCCACTTGACTTTAACGAGCTTGAGGATTTAAAGGAGCAGACGACAAAAATGCAGTGTGCGCTTATAATAAACAATGTTATTATCATGCGTTGGTGTCCTTATTGTTCTTGGTGTGAATGGGCCTTTAGGGATGCATCATGAATATCAAATTTGGAAATGTGTTGAGAGAGACTATCAAAATACACAATATAATAAAAAATATATAATATAACTGTTTAAAGAGGATGAATTTGGAGATTAAACTGCTCTAAGAAGGTTTTTAATCATGATAAAACTGCATTGTTTTTAGTACAGGAACCAATTTTTTTAAATAGTTTTTTTAGGAGCTATAACCGTTTGAAGAGGATGAATTAGCAATAAAACTTCTCAGAGAGGGTTTCAGCATGATAACAGTAACTGAGACCCTCTCTGAAAAGTTGAAAAGTACATTCATGTCAATTAAAGCAGCTAGACTTTAAATGTAGCCCTGAATCAGGTACTCTTTAATAAAGGACTGACACACCAAACAACATCGCCACTGAATGTTGAATCTAAGACAAAATTCACTGCAAAAACAAACTTTAAGCACGAAAAAGGAAGCGCACAACCTCTTATCAGGAACAAAAGGTAATTCTCTGGAACTACTGTGTTTACTCTGGCATTAAGGGAGATATTCCTCCACCTAGAGTGTGCAAACCTTGAGGAATCTCTCATCTCACTTCCTGTTTAATGGGGGCTTCCTTCTGCCTCCAGCAGTGGTTAATCAGAACAAGAAGAGCTGTTATTATGTCTACACTAATGCGGTTGATTCATGGTCTTTTAAATGCCGTACTGCTGTGATATCACACATGAGGGTCTGTCAGTTTCTGTAATGAGCTCTGAGCTGGGAGTTTATCAGCATCTGAACTGTAGCATTTCTTGAAGTTGTCTAGACGGGCTGTTTAAGAGCCCCCTTACATGCATGAAAACCAGCTGTAAAACGCAACCCAAACACATATCTGTCTCCTAGTGTGTGCTGGAGATCTCTCACGGTGGCCTCAGCAAATACTCCCCCATTGGCAGCAGCACTTATTGGCTCCTTCACACTCTCCAACAAAATAACTGAAGATGAGCGTTATTGCTCCCCATAGTACTACGATGCTCAGTTCATCCAATAAATCAAGTAGAAGTGCTATTCAGTGTGACTGAATAGACTGCACCACGGCAACAGAAAGTGTTTTGTTTGAGATTGCAGTCTTATTTTTGTATTTGGATCAGTAACAAAATGCAGTACATTAAAAGAAGTACATTAGACAGTAGTCTAGAGAATATGCTAAAAAAAATGCAATCTTGAAAAAAATAATTATAGAATACCCACATTAATAAATAAGTAATAGCATGGATAAATTAATAATTGTAGGATTTACTTAAAAGTAATTTTATAAATTAATTCCTTTTTTTTTTTTAAATAAGGTAATATCCAGATTTGTTTTCAATGATAAAGTGTGATGTTTAAGTCATTTTGTTTTACATTTGCAGTCTAAAAAAAGACTGGATAAAGTAATAAATCAAGCAGCTGTGCAAATCTGACTTTGCAGTCATATTTTTTAGTATTACAAAGTGCAGTGTGTTCAAATAATATTACATATTATTATATTTTATCTATACATTATATGGATTTTAGAAAGTGCAAGTATATTATACAGCACTATAGAGAATATGAAATAATAAATAATGTAATTTTATATAGAAAATAAATACAGAAAACCAATTGTACAAAGACCACTAAGAGGAAACAATAAATAAATAAATAATAACTTGTATAGATATATCTACTGATTATCGGATTTAAAGGACAGAATTTTTAAAAATAAGATAATATCCAGATTCTTCCCCATGATAATGCCTGATGTTTAAGCCATTTGGTTTAGATTTGCAGTCTGAAGATTAAATACAGCATAAAGAAAAATAATACAAAAGACAAGACGTCTTTTTATTGATTTCTGTATGCACACACACAAAAAAAATATCCAGACCAGTGTAGTCTGATTCATGAATGAAAACAGTTGGGTTAGTCCATATTTGACCCAACATTGGGTTGAAACAACCCAGCATTTTTTAGAGTGTACAGGCGAGACACGGGGGGTGTAATTACAGCTCACAAACCTCCTCTGAAACTCCACCACACTGACAAACAACCCCGCTGGAACACAGGCCTTAAACTTAATGATCCAAGACACCGTGGACGCTTAATGAGTAAAAGCTCACATACACTAATACAAAGTGTTTGTGCCATGGGGGCTCAGTTAAGTCCAGACAACACACCTCTCTTGAAATATGTCTTGTCAGAGATCAGTATTAGTTAAAGAGCTAGTATTATCCAGACAGAAACAATCCTGCGATAAGCAGCTGGGCTCTGGACAAAGGTACAGTGGTAAAGTCTGATGTTTTGACATCACAATCCTTATGGCTGTCACATGATCTATGAGAAGTCATGATGAACAGATTACAACAGAGATGATGATAAAGATTTTATTAAAGCAACAATTATAATTGTTCTTAGAAATGCAATTTGCATTCTTGTTGTGCGAGTATGTTTTTTTTTATGTCTGTGCCATTTGATGATGATAAAGCTTTTTATTAAAGGGATAATCATAAATAATTCTGAGACTTTGATCATTTTTAACAAGTTTTATTTTCTTAAGTTAATCCATTTAGTTTGGGGTCATAAGAGGGTTTTGGGGTCTGTAATATCACAATATGATTTCACGTTTTAAGGTTTTTTCATTACGTCAAAATGTTTTTCAAAATATTAATATTATAAAAAAATTTTTTATACATAATGCACACACACATAATGCATAATTTTTTAAACACACACACACACACACACACACACACACACACACACACACACACACACACACACACACACACACACATATATATATAAATCCAGAATTTTATTTCTGGAGGAATGTGTGTGCTGACAAACACTTCTGTTCAAGAACAATGTGGATGGACTTTTGAATTCTGAAAATAATTAGCAATTAAATTTATGAGTGATTAGTTTCCACATACACACACAAACACACATACACACATACACACATACACACATACATATATATAAATCCAGAATTTTATTTCTGGACGAATGTGTCTGCTGACAAACACTTCTGTTCAAGAACAATGTGGATGGACTTTTGAATTCTGAAAATGATTAGCAATTAAATTTATGAGTGATTAGTTTCTATTGGTCTATTAGTGGATGGTGGAGGTTGACCGTTAACTCACCAGTGTCATTTTAAAGTGGTCACGTGACTTTGTGTTGTACTGCTCGACCTTCTGTCTGATGTCCTCGTAAGTGAGATGAGTACGCAGCTCTTTCCCTTTCTCCACATCCTGAAACACAGACAGTGAATACAAGCATTTAGCAAGCAGAAAAGTCAGCACACAGGTCAACCTCGCAGCTCATTTTGACAGCAGAAGGTGGTATGACTCCAGAAATGCTGAATAATGAAGCCATTTAAATCAAAGGCTTGACTTCTGAAAAGACTGTTTCTGATGCGGGGGCCCAAAACACCTACATATACACCTTCCTAACTGGTGACATCCACGTGTCAAATGCAGATAATCGCTATACTTCTCAGATGAAGCAGGGCATCAACAGGATACCCAGCAGGTAAACAAATAATTGCATTTTCAATGTTTTTATTTGATGCATTTATTTGATATTTTAATGCATCTTGTTCTTTGACATCCAATTACATGACCAAGATAAGATCCCTTTAAGTGGTTATAATAGTGCACTTTTCCTGGAACAATACAGCTCTTAAAAGCTACAACCAGCAGAAACAGTTGGGTTAGTCCATATTTGACCCAACATTGGGTTGAAACAACCCAGCATTTTTTAGAGTGTACAGGCGAGACACGGGGGGTGTAATTACAGCTCACAAACCTCCTCTGAAACTCCACCACACTGACAAACAACCCCGCTGGAACACAGGCCTTAAACTTAATGATCCAAGACACCGTGGACGCTTAATGAGTAAAAGCTCACATACACTAATACAAAGTGTTTGTGCCATGGGGGCTCAGTTAAGTCCAGACAACACACCTCTCTTGAAATATGTCTTGTCAGAGATCAGTATTAGTTAAAGAGCTAGTATTATCCAGACAGAAACAATCCTGCGATAAGCAGCTGGGCTCTGGACAAAGGTACAGTGGTAAAGTCTGATGTTTTGACATCACAATCCTTATGGCTGTCACATGATCTATGAGAAGTCATGATGAACAGATTACAACAGAGATGATGATAAAGATTTTATTAAAGCAACAATTATAATTGTTCTTAGAAATGCAATTTGCATTCTTGTTGTGCGAGTATGTTTTTTTTTATGTCTGTGCCATTTGATGATGATAAAGCTTTTTATTAAAGGGATAATCATAAATAATTCTGAGACTTTGATCATTTTTAACAAGTTTTATTTTCTTAAGTTAATCCATTTAGTTTGGGGTCATAAGAGGGTTTTGGGGTCTGTAATATCACAATATGATTTCACGTTTTAAGGTTTTTTCATTACGTCAAAATGTTTTTCAAAATATTAATATTATAAAAAAATTTTTTATACATAATGCACACACACATAATGCATAATTTTTTAATACATACACACACACATACACATACACATACACATACACATACACATACACATACACATACACATACACATACACATACACACACACACACACACACATACACACACAAACACACATACACACATACACACATACACACATACATATATATAAATCCAGAATTTTATTTCTGGAGGAATGTGTGTGCTGACAAACACTTCTGTTCAAGAACAATGTGGATGGACTTTTGAATTCTGAAAATGATTAGCAATTAAATTTATGAGTGATTAGTTTCTATTGGTCTATTAGTGGATGGTGGAGGTTGACCGTTAACTCACCAGTGTCATTTTAAAGTGGTCACGTGACTTTGTGTTGTACTGCTCGACCTTCTGTCTGATGTCCTCGTAAGTGAGATGAGTACGCAGCTCTTTCCCTTTCTCCACATCCTGAAACACAGACAGTGAATACAAGCATTTAGCAAGCAGAAAAGTCAGCACACAGGTCAACCTCGCAGCTCATTTTGACAGCAGAAGGTGGTATGACTCCAGAAATGCTGAATAATGAAGCCATTTAAATCAAAGGCTTGACTTCTGAAAAGACTGTTTCTGATGCGGGGGCCCAAAACACCTACATATACACCTTCCTAACTGGTGACATCCACGTGTCAAATGCAGATAATCGCTATACTTCTCAGATGAAGCAGGGCATCAACAGGATACCCAGCAGGTAAACAAATAATTGCATTTTCAATGTTTTTATTTGATGCATTTATTTGATATTTTAATGCATCTTGTTCTTTGACATCCAATTACATGACCAAGATAAGATCCCTTTAAGTGGTTATAATAGTGCACTTTTCCTGGAACAATACAGCTCTTAAAAGCTACAACCAGCAGAATATTGTATGAAACGTGTGCAGTGCACTCTGGTCTTACATGGTCACATCACCAAGAAGCTGAACCGCTTTCCCGAGCGCTCCTAGCTCAAAACAAAAGCATAGATCCCCTTATAAGGGAACAAGGGCCATCTCAGCTAACAGTCCAGAGGCTGAATATTGTGAACTGTTAAAGACAGTCATAATTCCTCTCTTACATGGCCCAAGACTGCCTGGAGTGTTTGCAATAACAGGTGGTTTTGCGTTGTGTGCACTGTTAATGAACATTACAGGGAATGACTTGCACTGTTTTCATACCTAGAAAACATCTACTTAAAGGCTAAACACCATTTTCAATTCCTAGGTTTATAATAAAGCCCTAAAGCTCTGAGAATAAACATATTTCTGTTACTTTGCTGCTGTTGTATTAGTGCTGTTGTATTAGTGATGTGCCACACTACTAGGCCTACACATTTTCAAAAACACTATATAATATATGTATTATTCTTTCTACACTAAGTTCAGACTTGCATTACGATAACTGACAACACAACTAAATACCTCTAAATAAATAACTATAAAACCATATTTAAAAGTTTGTAATTCTCAAAGAGTTAGCATGCTCTTCCTGTCTATAAACTGATCATTAAAGCAACGCCAATAAAAAGTATTACAAAAAACACAATCTACTTAAACTCACTAGTGAGACTAGTCAACTATCCTGAACCATCTCAAGTTAGTATGGAAGAACTGTCCATTTGCTCATAAATTCATTCCTGTGCTACTTTTAGTAACATTTAGGGTTAGTAACATCCTTAACCTGACCTTAGCACACTTAAAGCTCTGAATGGGGCAATGCTAAACAGATTAACCCAGTAACAGCTGCTTAACTAGTGCATCAATTAGATATCTTATGGACAAGACTGTTTGGACAGGTGGCTTATGATATTTAAGAGAAAATAAAGTTTGAATAAATAAATCTATGTCTATATTGTTCTCACAACCAACCGTATAATTGAGACCTTATAAGACAAATCTTCTATGACAGAGCTTAGTCTTTCCAGTACTTTGGATGTGCCAACTGTCACACCAACAGGGTCATTAGCTGAATTACTTCACCATCCTAACAAGCACAGATGCAAATGGAAAACAATACTCCCAGACTTTCCTATAAAGGATTCTGTCAAGTGTTCAGATCAGACCAATTAACTACAAGCCGAGAGCCCATTAAATCCCTGTTCACCACAATAAAAGCTAGTAAAAGCTTTGTAAACGAGGGGCCAAGAGCATCTCAGCGGGGCCTGTTGAGATGTTGAGTGCATGTAAGGAATTGCAGCTCACCACATCAGCTTTGCCACCTATAGGTTCAGTGATGTGGCCTTCATCAGTTCTCTGAGGGTTGTTAATTAGCCAAGCTAAACCATGCATGTCAGTTATGTAAACTTTGATTGGTGCCCACAAAGTAATAGTGAGACTTGATGCCCCAACAAGGTCTTTTATCAATGTAGTCCAACCAGAGTTGATGTTTTGCTTGGGAAAGTAGACACCATGAGCAATATGTAAAGAACTAAACCAGGAAGGACAGGGTTAACACGGATGCCCCTGCACAACGGAGCGTGACAAAGGCAAAATAAACACCAGCCCGATGAGGTAATGTGACAGAAAAAGCAACTCTACCTCCCTTGCTGTGAGGGATTGTGTGTCCTCGCTCTCATGTGGAGCAACACATTGAATGAGGACATGGAACAAGAAGAACAGGTTAAATGTATCCTTGAGGTCCGACCAGACCATCTCTACTTGTTGAGAGATCAATCAAGTGTATTTTGAAGGAAAATCTGTCAAAATATCAAAGGGAGAAAGTAAACTGCACTGTGTGGGCTCCATGGTGTCCTTGGTGAGCGGATAAGCAAGACGGGAGGGTGTGGTGTGTGGTAATGTCAGGGTTTTTGTTCCTCGTTTTGAGTCATGTGCTAGCCGAGTTCTGTCACACTTGGTGGTCATGGTATACTCAACCTAAAGGGAGGAGGACGCATGAGGTGCGACCGGACTGGTTTTTCAGCTCTTGAATTGTGCGGATAAAGCACTTGATATCATTTGTGCTACTGAAAGATGAGTTAGACGAGCGTGACAATCAGACAAACACCAAAAGGTTCAGCAGACAAGACAATCGAAAGTCAACCTGCTTTTTATTTTAAGCGGAACATTTGCAGGGGATTTCTGGGCACGCCTATAATGACTGCGAAACATTGTGCTTGCCAATGTACACTGATCTGCAAGCCTTAATAAAACACCCCCTTCTCATTCCCCGTACCCCCCCACAGGAAGTCCCTGGCCACCACACCTTTCCTCCCTAACACATTCCTCAGCTAATGGAGTTACTGCAGCGAGCAGTAGACCAAACACTGTACTCCAGTGACTGGGTGATTGTCTGACAACTAGAGGCATAAAAATGACCTTTCTGTGAGGCTTCCTACTCAGCAGGACAGTGGGCAGACTAAACTGCATGATGTGATTCTAGTATAGTCAGAACTGCAGGGAGTTTTACAGAGCAAAGGAAATCATGGCCAACAAGAATACAGGAATGGAAACCGCCAAGCAAATTGTTGCAAGCTTGGTGAACACTCACGCCAAAGCTCATCAACTGGTCACATTACTGAAAACACTTATCGTCATATTCTGGAATCTTCTGTTTTAACATTTGGATTTAAAAGTTAAAGGGATAGGTCACCCAAAAATAAAAATTTCCCCATGATTTAGTCCCCGTCAAGCCATCCTAGGTGTATATGACTCCAAGCTTTATAATGGCAGTGAATGGGTGATATTCAATAGTCCAAAGTCCAATAAACTGCACCAATCCATCATAAAAAAGTGCTCCATATGGCTCCAGGGGGTTTTAATAAAGGCCTCCTGAAGCAAATATCAAGCCATCCTAGGTGTATATGACATGTTGTATACTGAAACTAAGAATAACCTGTTTTGAAGCTCCCAACTGGTATTTTGGTACTTTCGCAAACAGCATAATTCTTGAGGTTATATATCCATGCTGGTCTATGACTCATGGGATCTTTTATTATGAGAACTATAACATCACCTCACAAGGGAATGTACGCATATGCCTCATTACGCCAATCAGACATTGTCCTTCAACCCTCAATACTCTCCTAAACTTCCACCTACAAATTAGGTACAGTTTCATAACTCTGTTTATGTCTGCAAGGAATGCCGAGGGAACAAGAAAAAGTACCGTAATGTATATTACGCAAGCCATGCGTGCTTAAACGGCACTAGGTGTGTGTGGAACATAGAAAAGACCATTTCATCTCCACTGTTGCTGTCCCCTACAGACAGGCCAACAATAATACAAGAGCCCCACAAGGACACTTGCAACCTGCTTTCATTGGAAAGCTTGACCGATGCCTTCCAGCAATTTCCACCCCGATGTCATAAAGCTCTGCTGGGATAGTCACTTGTGACGGACAGCTTGGTTTCAAAGAGTTTTCACCAAATAATTAGGACCATAGACCATATTTGTAGGTGCTTCACAATATTCCCAAAAACATGTTTCTGTCTGACTTAGGATTTATGGGTAAGATTCAAAGATTACTGATAACATAAGATAAGAGTTGAACCATAAAAACAGGGTGTGGTTTGTTTTGCTTGTAACTGATGACAACTCTATACTGTAAAAAAATAAGTCTGTTGCTTTTTCTGGGAAAGAAGACTCCTTAAGAAAATGAGGAACTTGAGCCCTTCACAAACCAAAAGGACTTGTCCTTCCTGCACAGTACCAAGCTGAATATGATCTGGGGTTGATTCATGCAGAGAGCGAGTGGAGCTGTCTGACTCACCGCGGCGGCCCAATTGATCAAAACAAACCTGTCAGGCCAGATGGGAGTACAATGTCTTCACTGATCTCAGAGACCAATGAAATATAACCTCACTGTATGACGTCGCAGGTCATAATTCTTAGGAAATTTGCCCACTCACCACAGCAGTGGGGAACTGCGAGAAAGAAAGAGGAAAAACATTCAAACTTCGTGGCTGGTGCTCATCTGCTGTTTTTGATTGATGAGATGCCACACAAAGCTGAAATATAAAATCACAAGCCAGAAAATATCCAGTGCCAAATCTGATATTCTCAGTAATAAATATAGGCCAAAGGGGAAGATACATGACGTCAAATAGGCCTCTGTTAGCCTGAAAGGCCTTCAGAGCTATGTCCAGCTCATTTGCAGTTGGAGAACAAACAACTGTCTTTCAAATTTATCATTAACAGGATGTCCTCTCTGCACAAGTTTGCTTGTGATAAAAATTAACCCAGAGTGTACAAGACCTGGCACAGTCATCTTATCATAACCTAGCAACAAAAACAAAAACAAAAAAACAGTAGGATTTTGCACCAAACATGTCATGAATCTAACACTAAAAGATCCTGATATAGATGGGAGGATAAGAAGAATAAGGAACTTTGTTCACGGGGATATAGGATACATTTACTGCAGTGTTCAGCGATGATGTCATTCCAGAGGAGTGATGGCTTAGGAATGATTTCAAAGCAAGACATTGAGATCA